TTTTAGATTCCACTTTATCTTTATTTTTCCTTAAGGAGACACCCCACCCAGTGCAGAGATCAATGCAGGCCTTGAACTCATGACCCTGAGATCAAGATCAAGACCTGAGCTGAGATCAAAAGTCAGACACTTAACTGACTGAGCCACCCAGGCGCCCCTCTAGATTCGACTCTAATTAACACAATATTGATATTACTACTGAGGCATTCAGTGTGTATCTTTTCATCTCTAGTGCAATCGCCAAAAAATCCACGACCACATCTTGTCAAAAACACAACAGATAAATTAAGGTGGAATCTGAAAAAACTCTTCACATAACCACTGAAAAGCCAAGAAAGGAAAGATAGCCATGCAACACCAAGGGCATAAACAGAAAACAAATACAAAAATGGCTGACCCAGGCTAGATTCTAACATGTCAACAGTCATGTTCAATGTAAACGGCTCAACATGCCAATTAAAGCAGAGATTGTCAACGTGGGTTAACAAAACAAAGACAAACTGACTCAACTCTATGCCGTCTTCTGCAAAAACTCACTTCAAATATAATGAAATAAGATGAGTTCAAAGTCAAAGGGTAGGCAATAGTTATGCCATGCAAACACTAGTTCAAAGACGGCTGGGATGGATAGAAAATGGCAGGGCCCAATGGAGACTCCAAATGTCAGGCTTATTTTTGTGACATCCTTAGCCACGAGGGCCTCTCTCAGAATCAGCCGGATACTCTTCATCTTTCCTCTCGCTGGTTCTGTGCAGACCATTTATCCATACTTCACCACTGTGTGGACCTGCCCACTCCCAGCACCAGCCTATATTCCAGCAGCAAAACGTTTTCTGCCAACGTTTCCATGGGCTTCCATTCCTGTGCTCTGTTCCATGAAAGGGACTCAGATCATTCTGGGATAAATACCAGTGGATAAAATGTTAAAGACACAGCATGTTTTTGATAACGACAACATTAAGACTTAGGAATGCCATGAATGTCCTCAACAGAGAGGTTTTTAAAAAAAATGTTTATTTATTTATTTTGAGAGAGTGAGAGAGAAGGGGAGGGGCAGAGAGGGAGAGAAAGAATCCCAAGGAGGCCCCACACTGTCAGCGCAGGGACTGAAGTGGGGCTCGAACCCACCAACCGTGAGATCATGACTTGAGCCAAAGTCAAGAGTCGGACGCTCACCTGACTGAGCCACCCAACCCCCCCCCACCAACAGAGAGTTTTTGTAAGCCTTCCTGCCTTTTGTTGTGAGAAGGTAACATCTCAGAGGTAATGTTCACCGGAATTGCTTCTCACATTGCTCAAAACTGGTCTCCCTGGGCCTTGTCGATCACGAACACACTTGCGTTTATCTGCCTCTGCCCAGATGTCCAAGAAATGTGCCAATGGATGAAACAGGATTTTTAAAAAAATTTTTTTCAATGTTTATTCACCTTTTTGAGAGACAGAGAGAGACAGAGCATGAGCAGGGAAGGGGTAGAGAGAGGGAGGCACAGAATCCGAAGCAGGCTCCAGGCTCCGAGCCATCAGCACAGAGCCTGATGCGGGGCTCGAACTCACGAACCGTGAGATCATGACCTGAGCCAAAGTCAGACGCTCAACCGACTGAACCACCCAGGCACCCCAGAATTTGTTTTTAAAAAGCACTTCGAGGCAGTAGTCCTCTCTTCATATATTCTTGACGTTAAGATATTAGGATACACTAATAGGTCTCCATGAAATTACACATCAGTCCTCAGGAAATCCTGTGTGATGTGTTGGTGTTACCTGGACCTCGTGCCTTGGACCCTGAACTCAATGATCACACGTCCGTTTATCCATTTTCAGCGGAGAACACTGGATTCTCTCTCCCTGAGTATCTGTCTGAATCACTGTTGTAAACTCTGCTGGTTGAGGTAGGACATCAGATAAGGGTCTCTTCTACTAATGCTTTTGAAGAGCACCTTCTGGGCCTGGTGCCCTTTATTCTCCACCATCCTCAGTAGGGTCTCGTTCCTTCTCTGCTGTGTTGGCATCTGCTGCACCATCTCCTTCTCTTCCTCGGTGAAGACCCCATGGTCCTGAAGATCATCCAGGACTCCATTCAGGTTCCCCATCCTGGCTTGAAGATGACGACGGTGCTCCTTCATAAAGGCCACAGCTGGACAGAAGGAAGCGTTGCAGACTCAGAAAAGGGAAGCTTGCTTATAGGGGTCAGGACCCATGCCCAGCTTCAAGACATAATTCTGCATGGAGACGTTGCTCATTCTCTTTTGCGGGCTGCCCGGGTCTCCCAGACGCACGCTCGGGACGCGCAGTCCATTCTCGGGGGTCAATGAACCTAGGGAGAACTCAGCGATACCTCTTCTTCAATCCCAGCCCCCCCCCAAGCTTTGAGCACTTCGCCTTCGCTACTTTCCGGTTGTCATCGGAACCCTAGAGAGAGGGCTCTACGTTGCCATCCATCCAACTACTCATCCTTCTAACAGTCTCCGAGTTCCTACATTGCCAGCAGCTGTGCATGACATCAGAGAGGCAGATGGATAAGGCTGGCTCCCCACCCTCAAGGGTCTTCTGCTGCTGAACTGTGTAGAAAGAGATTTACCTGGTTAAGGACCACACAGGACGGACAGGGGCAGTGGACGGAAGAAGGTATTTTGCATCATGCTGACTCAGGGTTCCTGTTGGTGCCCATGTATAGTACCTGTGTGACCTTGGCCAAATAACATTGCTTTCTTGTTCCTCAGTTTCTTCACTAAAAGTGTGTGGGGGGGGCACCTGGGTGGCTCAGTCAGTTGAGGTTCCAGCTTTGGCTCAGGTCATGATCTCATGGTCCATGAGTTTGAGCTCTGTGCTGACAGTTCAGAGCCTGGAGCCTGCTTCGGATTCTGTGTCTCCCTCTCTCTCTGCCCCTCCCCTACTAACGCTCTCTCTCTCCTTTAAAAATAAATAAATATTAAAAAACAAGTGCGAGTGCTGGGACACCTGAGTGGCTCAGTTGGTTAAGCATCCAACTTCGGCTCCGGTCATGATCTGGCGGTTCGTGAGTTCGAGCCCCACATTGGGCTCTCTGCTGTCAGCACAGAGCCTGGAGCCTGCTTCAGATCTTCTGTCCCCCTCTCTCTGCCACCCCCGCCCCGCTTGCACTCTCTCCCTCTCTCTTTCTCTTTCAAAATAAAACAGCATTTTTTAAAAAGCGTGATTGCTTTTTATGTACAACTCATGCCTCTAGAACTTTTGCTCTTAACACGGTGGCACAGGTAATTCGTGCCCAGGCATCTGTGGCTATAGCCAAACAGCTTGATTTAATGACGTGATTTCTGTGAAGTCTCGGTCTTTGTACTGAAAAGTCATCGCAAGGGTGTGGTCACTGACTCCACAGTTTGAACGAATGATGTTGCTGCCACAGAGTCTCCGCTTAACCTATTCTTGCTGCCTCGATTGTTTCAACCTTCCCGTTTGTTTAGCAACTGCTATTCAACCTTCTTTTTCTTAAGTGTATTTACTTTTTGAGAGAGAGAGAAAGAGCACACGCGCACGAGCAGGAGAGGGGCAGAGAGAGAATCCCAAGCAGCCTCCACGCCATCAGCGCAGAGCCCGATGCAGGACTCGAACTGGGACATCATGACCTGAGCCGGGATCAAGAGTCGGACGCTCAACCGAATGAGCCACCGAGGCGCCCTTGCTATTCGATCTTCTTAACTGGACATAAACTTCACTTTTTCCTTTTCTCCAGGATGCACTCTGAGACGTTTTCAACTCCCTCAACGCTAGATCCAAGCTCCTCATGTCATCCTCTTCTAAATCCCTCCAGTTTTCCTTGGCAACACGCCCCACGAGTATACTTTGATAAGCAGTGTGGAACAGGCTTCGTTGTTTTCACCTGCTGGAATAGAAACCCCATGCGTGCAGAGAGCGTGTCTGTCTCGGGCTACACTGCATACAACATTGTTACTTCACGGCCACTACCGTGTTCCCGCTCTGACGCTCCTCTGTGATTGTCTGGGGAAGCCAGCCACGGTTTATTGACAGGACTAAACAGAAGTGGACGATATGAAGCACAAATACAGGTACCCTGATTATTTAGCATGCTACAGGCCTTCGATAAGCTGCGTTTGTCATCAAGATCATTTTTATCACCATAGTCCCATGAGGGACAAATGTCACCACAGCCTTCAGGTCACAAAGGAGGGGATGACTAGACTCTGAAGCAAAGTCTTCACGGAAGAATTAATATCAAAGGAGGATTTGAAGGATTTGTAGGACTTCTTTAATGTTTATTTTTGGAAGAGAGAGAGAGAGCAAGCAGGGTAGGGCCAGAGGATGCGAAGCTGGCTCTGGGCTGACAGCAGTGAGCCCGATGTGGGGCTGGAACTCATGAACCATGAGATCGTGACCCGAGCCGAAGTCGGATGCTCAACCAACTGAGCCAGCCAGGTGCCCCGGAAGGAAAAGGATTTGGGTATGAAATGCAAGATGCCACCAGGCCAAAAGGGAAAGAGGGGTAAAGAGGTGTCATGATTCATGGCACATGGTGGCCAGGATAAAGATTTGACTCAAGATGTGGGCCAGCAGAAGCTTCTGAAGGGTCTTCTAGACAGAGTGAATGAGTGTCAGTTTCATCCTTCAGACGACAGGTGACAGATATCTCTTGCTCAAGAGCTTGTGTGATAGGAAGGGTAGAGACCCTGTATTAATGCTACACACTCACCACCTACATTAAGTCCTTTCGTTTCCTTTATGAAATCACCTTTACCTGATTCTTCACCAAGATCTGTAGCTGAGTTTGAACCCAGTTGCAACTCCAGGTGTGGGGCCTGATTTTCTCCAGCTAGTCTGCCTCTCTGGACCTCCTGACAACACCCGCTGGCCAGGATGGGTCTGTTGCCATGTCAAGCCAATGCGATACCCGAGGAGCCTTCTCCTCCCCAAGAGACACCAGAAAATGCTCTCCTTCTCCTCCTGGATGATCTGTTTTGACAAAGGGGGCCCGTCACTTCTACTGTGTGGAGCCTGACAATCATGGCCAACAACGTGGAAGGCAGAATGGAGTCCTCTGAATCTTGGCTCCTTATTTTATTTTCCTTATTTTCTTTTTAAAAGTTTAGTGCGATCGAGTCCCACGCTCCTCCAACTGAGCCAGCCAGGTGCCCTTTGGCATTTTATTTTAAATAATTTCTTTCCCCGCTACCTACCATCTCCACTAACCTGAACAAATTCCCAGCTAACACCTGATCTTGACATTTACAACAGCCTCATAAGCCAATTCCCACTTCCTGTTCATTCCTCACTCACAGTCATCCACACAGTTCCGAAGGGTGAGTGCCTTGTTACTCACCCTTCAAAAGTCCCCCTTTGCCTTCGGACTAAGCTCCAAAAGAGTTCAACGATCATCCTTATGCTTACAAATTCTGTTTCTTGCCTGCCCCTCTGGTCTCATGTGGGCTCCGTCTCTCTAAAGTTTGATCCCCAGCCGCCTCAAACTACTCTTACTTAAAGTTCAGCAGATGCAAAATGGTTTCCCAAAAAAGCGTGGTTGCACGCTCAGAGGCTGCGTATTACAGCCTCGTGTGTTTGCTGAAGTGCATCAGACTCTGTGTTTGTCTCTGGAACCACTTAGTCTTTGTAAATGAAGAGAAGGTATGAACCCACATTGAGCGACATCACTCAAAGATCTCCTGAAATCAGACTTTTGGTGGAAACACTGCACTGACCTGGGAGGGGAGGAGGGGCCGATGTAGCACCAAACTGGAGCTCCTCTAGGAAGGAAGGAAAAGTTGGAGAATGATATGAAATCAGCTGTATACCTTTATTTAGTTTTTCTTTTCTTTTCTTTTTTAAGTTTATTGTTTTAGTAATCTCTATGCCTATCTTGGGGCTGGAACTCATGACCCCGAGATCAAGAGTCACATGCTGTACTGATCGAGCCAGACAGGTGCCCCTTGGTTTCTCTAGGCTTTGATGTAACACACTAAAATAATTTTTTTTAATTTTTAAATGTTTTTATTTATTTTTGAAGGAGAGAGAGAGAGAGACAGACAGAGCATGAGCAGGGAAGGAGCAGAGAGAGAGGGAAACACAGAATTTGAAGCAGGCTCCAGGCTCCGAGCTGTCAGCACAGAGCCCGATGCAGGGCTCAAACCCACAAACCATGAGATCATAACCTGAGCCGAAGCTGGACGCTCAACCGACTGAGCCACCCAGGCGCCCCTGTAACACACTAAAGTAATTTAATTCCATTTCCTAAGTGAAGGATCCCATTCGAACATTAATATACAAATGGAACCCCATGAGGTAGAAGGTCACCCCCTACGCATTAGGGAAATGCATCAGAGGAAGGAATACATTTTCCCAACATTCCTTCTATTTCTATTTATAAGCCAGTATGTGAGACAATGTGAAGCCAACGCTTAAGTTATCATACTGTTCTACATAAATTATCCTCTAGGAAACAGAACTACCCTATGACCCAGAAGTTGCACCAGATATTATTTAGCCAGAGGATCCAACAAGATCCAGATTTGAAGGGGTTCATGCGCCCCAATGTTTATAGCAGCATTATTTACAACAGCCAAACTATGGAAGAGCCCAAGTGTCCATCAACTGATGAGTGGATACAGAAGATGTAGCATATATATATGTGTGTGTGTGTGTGTGTGTGTGTGTGTGTGTGTGTGTGTGTATTACTCAGCCATCAAAAAAAATGAAATCTTGTCATTTGTAGCTATGTGGATGGAGCTAGGGTATACTATGCTAAGTGAAATAAGTCCATCAGAGAAAGATGAATACCATAGAATTTCGCTCATATGTGGAATTTAGGAAACAAAACAGATGGACATATGGGAAGGAGAAAAAAAAAGAAAGAAAGAAAGAGGAAAGCAAACCATAAGCGACTCCTAATGATAGAGAACAAACTGAGGGTTGATGGGAGGGAGGCGGGTGGGGGAGGGGCCGGGTGGAAGATGGGCACTAAGGAGGGCACTTGTTATGATGAACACTGGGTGTTGTATGTAAGTGACGAATCGCTGAATTCTACTCCCGAAACCACTATTGCACTATATGTTAACTAACCAGAATTTAAAGAAAAATTAGGAAGAAAACAATTATCTTCTAGGCAAACGTGTTTTGGCATGAAATACCATCATGAAGTGATTAAACGTGAATAAGCGAGTACATTCCTTAAACCTTATAACGCCGGGGTTGTTGATAGTGCAGAACTTTGGACACTATAAACTGTCAGTAAATTTATTTTCTTCTCTGGGATGAGACCATAAACAGACCTTCTCCTGTGATAGACTTCACTGCAACCAAGGAGACAGGTGCGTGATTTTTTTCCTCCCCCCCCCAATTTTAGCCTTATATATATATTTTTTACCTACCTGGCTTCACCAAAGTGTACCAGATCAAAGTCTTGTATCTTTTTTCAGTAATTTCAAGCATGATTGGTTCCTTCATCCTCCCAGCATAGACTTTAGAGAAGACCTGGATTTCTCCAGGGTTCCTGTAGGATAATTTCAACTCCTAGAGGAAACACATGACTTAAAGCATCGGTGGGGGGGGGGGGGGGGGTGAGGGGGTGGAAAGTTCTGTTTGCCTACAGGAAACTGGCCACTGAAATGTAATCCATTTCCCATACAATCTCATGGCTGGTTGAGAGGAAAACAGAGGGAGAAAGGTCAACATTCTTGGTAAGTTTACAATTTCAGGAAATATTATTGTTCCATGGAAGGAAGAGTAGACCAGCTCTTATCAGGACATGGTTCAGAGACTAATCTTCTCTCTTTCTTTTTTCTTCAAAAGTACAAAATATTTTGAACCATGTGTTCAATTTGAGTTATATCCAATTCTACTGACCTTGGGTATTATTTCCAGGGGAGGCGAACAAGACACAATATAACGGGAACCAAAATTCAGTGGGTCCACTGGGGGCGAGGTCTGCAGACGCACACCTTGAAATTTAGCTTCCTCCTCATCTATTGCCTGAGGAAGAAGCAGCAGAAGCAAATCAGAGGGCGAAGCTAAAAGGAAATAAGCAAAAGCAGTCGCATACAAAGTTCTCCATATACTGTATCAAGTAGCACACATGACATCATTCAATGGATGTAAAGGTTCATGTACAGACTGATACATTCAAATATATATGTATATACCTATATATGCATATTCGTATATATATGAATATGTCTCTGTACATAAGGAAGGAATGTCGTTTTGAAAAGGCTCAGGTCATGATCTCACAGCCGTGAATTTGAGCCCCGAATCAGGCTCTGTGCTGACAGCATAAAGCCTCCTTGGGATTCCCTCTCTCTCTCTGCCCTTTCCCTGCTCTCTCACTCAAAATAAACAAATAAACTTTAAAATATTTTCTCTTGTATTTTAAATACCCATGGTTACTCACAACCTAACAACCGCCAGGCCCATACTTGCCTCTTACTGAGCTGTAGGAAAATTAACCAATTGGCCAGCAAAGCAGATGAGTCTTCCCCCACTAACCTCTCCACCGAGGTTGGAGGAACACAAGTGGTACTCTATCCAGGGATACAGTAGCTATGGGGCCACAATGGCCACCAGCACGTCTGCTTCAGCACTAACCCTGGAAAGGGGAGGGGGGGGGACTCTGAGCCTTTCACAAATGCACAGGAGGAGGATGACTGCAGAGGGGTGCATGTGTGTTTCATTTAGATATTACTAACGTCCATTTCTACAATGAAATCTCTGCATCACCTCTTCTGCAAGTCCCCATAAGTCTCCTCTCCCTTTTTTGCTTCTCCTTCAAAGCTGGAAAAGGTAGCTCCATTTTTAGCAGAACCAAACTCCTACTGGGATCATTGCGTATGGTTCTAGAGTCAGCACCTACAGATTGCCCTTGTGAAGGGTGATTCATGCTTCTATCAATGAAAGCTGTGCCTTGACTTTTCCTATTTGTTTCTTTGTTTGTTTGTTTGTTGTGTGTGTGTGTGAGAGAGAGAGAGACAGAGAGAGCGCCAAGGAGGGGCAGAGAGAGAGAGGGAGAATCCCTAGCAGGCTTCAAGCTGTCAGCACAGAGCCCAACACGGGGCTCGAACTCACAAAACTGAGATCATGACCTGAACCAAAATCAAGAGTCCCACATTCAACCTACTGAGCCACCCAGGTGCCCCTGTGCCTTGACTTTTCTGTTCAATAGGGAGACAGAAGGTCCAAGGTGATAGGCTGAAAATGTAATTCTCACATCTTCTCCCAAATCTGCAGGCCTTACCTTCGTTAGCAAGGAGTCGCTGGGGATAAGATACAAGTGAAATTTCACATCTTCGGAGTGGAAGTGATAATAGATTAGTGCCGTGGATGTGATGGGGACCGAAAGGCAGGTCCCTCTGGCAAGTCTCAGCAGGATCCCCAACAGAGAGAAGCTAGGGTTTTCCAGGATGGCATAGAAAGGCTCCACTCGGGCTGGCGGCTCCAGGACCATCCCTTCATCCTTAAAATGGGCAACTTGGAACCAAGATATATCGACCTCATTTGCTGCAGGGCAACCAGAAAGGCCATTAGACAATGTTCCCCACCGTCCCCACAGCCTCCTCTCTCCCCTCTGTACCTGGGAGAGAGATGACGTGGGGGAGGTGGATTTCAGTGATGACCCCCTCAGGCTCCACAGAGATGTCAAATAAAGGGCCGGCCACCATCCACTTCTCGTGATACTGTAACTTCAGGTCCAGGTGCCGACCCCAAGAATCGAACGTAATCGTCACGGTCACTGCTGCTGTTACCAGGAAGCCAAGGCCTGTTGCTGGCCACAGATAGAAGCCGGCCACGGGGAAGTGGACACTGAAAAGAGTCAGAATGATAGTCATACAGGGACAACACCAGGACTTTGATTTAAAGAACAAATGTGCAGGGGCACTTGGGTGACTCAGTCGGTTGAGTGTCTGACTCAATTTCAGCTCCAGTCATGATCTCACAGTTTGTGAGTTCGAGCCCTGCATTGGGCTCTGTGCTGACAGCATGGAGCCTGCCTGGATTCTCTCTCTCTCTCCCTCCCCCCCCCTCTTTCTGCCCTCTCCACCACTATCAGAAATAAATAAACATTTAAAAAATAAAGAACAATTGTGCAGAGGGATGTGATGTTTGGGGTGGAGCAAGGTTCAAGATTCATCTGTGACTTTCACCACATTAGAAAATTCTGTGGGGGAGAGGGGGCCCCTGGGTGGCTCAGTTGGTTGAGCGTCCAACTTCAGCTCAGGTCATGATCTCACGGTTTGTGAGTTCGAGCCCCGTGTCAGGCTCTGTGCTGACAGCTCAGAGCCTGGAGCCTGCCTCGGATTCTGTCTCCTTCTCTCTCTGCCCCTCCCCCACTTGTGCTCTGTCCCTCTGTCTCTCAAAAATAAATAAATGTAAAAAAAAATTTTTTTAAGAAAATTCTGGGGAATTAATTAGGCTTTCTGGGCCCTGATTTCTCTGTATTCTACATCTGTCAAAATTAAAATACCAACTCGGAATATGCAATACAGAGAATATTGACAAAATTTCAGATGTCTTAAGAGATATATCATGTACGTGTATACATGTTAAGTATCACACATTATATACTTCCTTTATAGCAGAATTGTGTTTAAACAATCAGCATCTTCGATTCTTACCTGTATCTGTTTGCACTCTTATCAATCAACTCAATATCCACATTTCCTTCAGGTCCCAGAAACTGATTACTTTTACAAACCGGTTCAGTCCCAGAACAGAGTTTAGCAACCAGGTGGGGCACTACTGTCTTCTCTTCCCAGCAAGTATCTTCTGAAAAAAATATATTGCATGTGTCATATGTGGATTGTTGAACAAGGCATGGCCTGAAGGGGTCCTGGATGTTGAATTGCACATGTACTGTTGGGAATCCAGATATCAGAGAGAAGGGTATGGGACAAGCACAAGCGGCTTTGTTTTGAATCCACACAGAGAAAGCCACAAGAAGATTCTTTGTTACTGCTGAAATTACACCCCCAAATTTAAGAAGGAAGTCAGGCTGGGCAGCATGGGGGGGCAGGGGGTGTATTTGCCTAAGTAAGCAACCACAGCAGCTAAATTTCTACATGGTCCCAAGGAGCAGAAAATGCTTGTTGCTGGTGAGGGAAGCCAAGTCCATAAAGCGAACAAGCATGAAAGCTGAAAAGGCAAAGACACATCTGTTCACTCTCGTCCTCTCCACCATCCATCCCGTGGCACCCCCAGACCATCGCCCGTTCCCTGAACGCTCCCAGGATCCGGCTGCACAACAATGCTTGGAGACCCTCCATGCACACACTGCTGAATTCACTTCCCACTGCTTAGGCTCTGGGCGAGGATGATTTGCATAGAACAAATATCTCTAACCTGGGCAATAGAAATCTTTTAGACACTGTCCTCTGACAAAAATTGGTTTATGAGGAATTATATATGATGGAATCTCATTTTGCAGAGAGTAGAGATCTTGTACAGGAAAAATGAAAAGTCTCAATTAAACAGTTACTTAACCTCTCTGAGTTTTTTTCCTCATGTAGAATCGCTCTGAATCTTGGTACCTGGCTGTGTGATACCCAGCGAAAATAGCACACAATGTTAGCTATTCATGTGATTAGCTTACCCAGTGACCACATGACTGGGAAGACAGGAGTTGGGCTGGGGATCAAGATACAGCCAACACCAGTGCCCTCCTCTCCTTGAATCTCACATGGCTTTCAAACTACTTCACACCACGTAGGACAGTTTTCAACCATCAGCACTTAGAGGTGGAGCAAGTAATGACAAAATCTAAAATAGTCACATTGGGTAATTTTTTTCCAACCCAACACAATGAGCATAGATATATGGGCTGAATTTGGAGATGGAACCTATAAGAAGGTATTAGTGATTAAATGAGTCATAAGAGGGGTGCCTGGGTGGCTCAGTCAGTTAAGTGTCCAACTTCGGCTCAGGTCATGATCTCATAGTCCATGAGTTTGAGCCCCGCATCAGGATCTATGCTGACAGCTCAGAGCCTGGAGCCAGCTTCAGATTCTGTGTGTCCCTCTCTCTCTGTGCTCATCCCCTGTTCATGGTCTCTCTCACACTCTCTCTCTCTCTC